ACATTGCATCACAATCATTTGCAGCATATGAAGTTATTAATTGACGATATTGTAATTCACTAGAATTTAATTTAATTAATTTTGGATCCAACCCGATATCAAATGGTGAACGTGTATGACGTTTATCTAACCATTTGTGTAATTCATATGCTGTTGCAGCTTGTATGGACCACGGGTTGTTCTCTTGTATACCAATGCATCCTTCACATATACATCTTTGATTATTTGTTGTTGATGTTTGAATATGTGGATGATGTTTATACCAATATAATTTGAATTTACCTTGTAAATTAATATTATTTGATAAATAAATTTGATCATATGAGAATAAATTAAATTCAGTAAATTTTGTTAGTTCATCGATTTCACCCCATACGTAAATTGTATTTTTTGTTTGAAATAATAATTCAAATAATTGTTGAATCAATAAAAAAGTTGGAACATGTGATCTTGGTAAATGATGAACTTCAATAAGTAATATATATGAATTTAATTCACGTGTAACGATTTGTACTTGAATAAGTGCTGGTTTATTTGGTTTTTTGTATACACCTACAGATTCTGTATCGATGATAAATACTGTAGATGATTTAATAATTTTAATTAATTGAATTAATGTTTCTTCTGTTGTTCTATAGTTAATAAAAATTAATTCATAAGGTGATGGTTCAAATGGTGGATAATGTGAAGCATAATAATGTTCCATAAGCTTTTTCCGATATACTTGTTGAAGATTTTTTTGGGCTTGTCCAGTTATTGATTTTGGAATGTTCTTGGATTTCCATAATGCATCTTCGTATTCTTTTTGTGATAACATGACTACAATAAAAAAAATATTGTTGTATATTAAATATCGATTCTTTCGAAAATGAATCTTAAGCTATTTAATAATCTATTTGGTTGTTATGAAAAATAGGAATCTAGTATGTCAATCTCAATAGGGTACGCAATGTATTTCTTTCCGATTCCCAGTGGCCACATGAAAATCTAAATAAATGAATATTGTGATATCCATATGCTACATTCCGTATAATGAAATAATTAGTATAAAATTAATTTTCCAAATTGAATATAATAACCCTTCAGAACCAGTGAGTGGGGGAAAGTCACACTCCCCGATTGTGCTATGCTAAATTATATTAAATTAGGTGATTGTAATAATATATATAATTATTCCATAGAATTTGACATATCGTTTGTACTTCGGATCTCTTTAATGAAGAGGTCCTAAAATTAATGAATACGTTCAAAGATGGGAAGTAACACATCAGTTGTAACTTGACGATGTAATGTTGGTTTCTTGATGTGTTGTACGATAAATGTTTTTGGTGTAAGGGTTTTTATAATTCTGAATGGTCCTTCATAACGGACATTGAATTTTGAATGCATGTTGAGTGTTTTAACAAGAACGAGATCACCAACATTGTATGATGGATCAGAACGATTGGTATCATAACGTTGTTTATATCGTTCTTGATTTTTAATAATGTTAATTCTTGCTTGTTCATTTAATTTTGTTAAAAATTGATTAAGTTTGTTCACGTGTTCATCATCATATTGAATTGTAACGTTATCTTCTTGATAATCAAATGGTAATATTGGTGTTCGACCATACATCATTTCAAATGGGATTTGTTTGGTTGAAGAATGTATCGATGTATTGTAATTAAATGTTACAAATGGTAATTGATCATCCCAATCTGTTTTTTGTATATTGGATAAAGCTGCAATTTTTGCATCCATTGTTGAATTGTATCTTTCAACTTGACCATTTGATTGAGGATGATATGGTGTTGAATATAAATGTGTTGATCCGATTTGTTTAATTAATTCATTCATCAATGTTGAAGTAAAATGAGTTCCATTGTCGGTTAAAATACATCGAGGTGTACCAAATTTTGAAATAACATCTTCTTTAAGAAATTTAACAGCTGTTTGTGCAGTATTATCACGTACTGCTTTTGTTATTACAAATTTTGATAAAATATCCGTAAGACATATAATATATTTGTTTCCACGACGAGATGTTGGATTAATAGGACCGTGAAAATCCATTGACACTAATTGCCATACCCCTTCTGGAGGTTTAATTGGTTGTAATTTACCAGGAGTTTTTTGTCGACGAGGATTATATTGAGCACAAATAATACATGATTTAACATAATTATTGATATCTTTGTACATTGATGGCCAAAAATAACGTTGTTTAATTTTATGTATTGTTTTATCTCTTCCGAAATGAGCACCATTTGCTGCAGTATCATGATAAATTTGTAAAATTGTTTTTCGGAAATCCCCTTGTGGTACGTAAGGAACTGGAGGATTTAGTCGACGCATTAATAGATTATCTTTAATCATATAATTTTTATATTTCTTGATGTTGTTTAGAATATTTTTCGAGTAATCATCATTTTGTTGAGCTTGAATTAGTTCTTCGATAGAAAATGGAGTTATGCGATTCTCTTCAATAGAAGTATTCAGAGAATCTGATGATAATTTTGTATTTGAAATGTCATCTAAAGTTTTGTTTCGTAATTTCATAGCACAAGTTTCAACAGCTGCGACAATAGATGAATGATTATTAACATTTAAAATATCGGTTTGTGTTGATTTTGAAATAAGATGTATAGTTTCATCAGGATCTTCTTCAGCATCGTCAACCGGGGATCTTGATAAATAATCAGGCATTAAATTAATTGAACCAGGAATGTATTTCACGTTGAAATCATATTCTAAGATTTTTAATCTCCATCTTTCACATCGTTTATTAATTTGAGCTTTTTTATTTAATTGTGTTAATGCTTTGTGATCAGTTTCCCAAATAAATGTAATTCCACTTAAATAATTATGCCATTTATCTAATGAACATATAAATGCATAACATTCTTGTTCCATAGGAGACCATTTGCGTTGTGCTTGAGTAAATGTTTTTGAAAGATATGCAATCGGTCGTTCACCATCTGGATAAATTTGTAATAGTACCGCACCGATTCCCTCATCAGATGCATCAGTTTGAACTTTGAAAGGGAATCTATTATTTGGAAGTCGTAAAACCAGATCAGTTGTAAGAAAATTTTTGAGTTGTTCGAAGGCTTTAATTTCTTCATTTGTTAATGTAATAATGGTTTTTTGTCCTTTCTTTCGTTGAGTTTTTGTAGTTGGAACAAATTTTCGAAGTGGTTCGGCGATTTGAGAAAAATTAGGTATAAATTTTCTGTAATATTCCGCTGCTTTAACAAATTTACAAGCTTCATCTGCCGTTTGTGGTAATCTTGTATTTAGTAAACCATGTATATTGGTAGGACTTGGACGAATTTCACCATTTTGTATACGATGTCCAAGATAATCGGTTTGAGTTCGAGCTATTTCGCATTTTTCTGGATTAAGACGAAATCGAGCATTTTTTAATATTTGACAAATTTCATTGAGATGTGATAAATGTTCTTCGAATGTTTTTGAATATATAATTACATCATCAATATATGCTAATGCATGTTTCCATCGTGTAGGACCTAATATATGATTAATAACACGTTGAAATGTTGCTGGACCATTTGTTATTCCTTGAGGAAGAACTGTAAATTGATAATGATTATCACGAGTTGAGAATGCAGTTTTAGGTCGGTCCTCTTTAGATAGAGGTACCTGGAAATAACCAGATTTAAAATCGAATTTTGTGTAATACGTTGCGTCGGATAATTGATCAAAAATTTCATCGATTCGAGGAAGTGGAAATGCATCTTTAATTGTAATAGCATTTAATCGGCGGTAATCGATACAGAATCGCATAGTTTTGTCTTTTTTCTTAACAAGAACGATCGGTGATGACCATGGTGAAGTTGATTCTTCAATTTGACCACGTTCTAATAATTTTTGTGTTTCTTGAAATTTA